ATGAAGAGCTACATCCACTTGTGCATGATATATTTCTTTGGACTTTTACAATTTACATGCACGTATATTCTCTCTATGATTCAATACTCGAGAAGTCCATCCCTTTCATGTATGGGGCTTTGCCCCTTTTATAGCTCAAGCTTTCTTCGTGGGTGGTTTTCCTTCGTAGGCAAAAAGTACTCGAGTGGCCTACCTTTTTAAGTCCAGACCGTAGCCCACTAATCACTTTTTGAACTGTTCACTCAGCCAATTGGTCTTTCATTACGGCTCTGTGGATTCCTGTAATCCTTCACTGCCCACTGTAGGGCGGTTTAGGGGATTACAATTAATGCCCGTACTGCAAATGTCTCTCACCCCTAGACGCAACTTGTGATGTCAGGCTTCGTTCTGAAGAGTATTTCCCTCGTCTTCTGTGCTATGTAGACCTCATGTCCTTCCTGGCAGTCGACCCTTTCCAGATGGGGATTTTGTTGCCATAAGTTCGACGACACGACTGGTCGACGCCTTAAGTTGGGCCTTTCTTTGCAGCATAGAGGGGAAGCGAGCTTTAAGCGTCGAGGGTTGTCACTTTTTGACGGAAAGTAGGGCCACATGTCACACTGTCGCCGTTCTACATGTCACCCATATTTTTCCACACAACAAGTATAACTAACCATCTAACTTCCTAAAAACAAGGAGATAAAAAGGCTAACAAATACACTAGCATAACAACCCTAAAATCCCGGATAATCCAACCATATCTGCTAACACTCCCCCTCAAGCTCGGCAGTACAGATTGTACATCCCGAGCTTGTCCACTAGCTTTTCGAACAATGGTCTTCCAAGACCTTTGGTTAGAAGATCAGCTACTTGCTCCGATGTTGGAACATATGTGACACATATTGTTCCATCTTCAATCTTTTCCTTAATGAAGTGCCGATCCACTTCCACATGCTTGGTTTTGTCATGATGAACTGGGTTATGAGAGATGTTAATTGCGGCCTTATTATCGCAGTAGAGCTTCAAAGGAACTTGTACTTCCATTTTTAGTTCTCCCAGTAACTTCCTTAGCCACAAGAGCTCACATACACCATGTGCAAGTGAGCGTAATTCTGCTTCAGCACTACTTCGAGCCACGACTGTTTGCTTCTTACTTCTCCAAGTCACTAGATTTCCCCAAACTAGAGAGCAGTAGCCTGATGTAGATCGTCTATGACTTATGGAACCAGTCCAATCTGCATCCGTGCAGGCCTCAATGCTTTTTGATTCACTCTTCTTGAAGAATAATCCTCTTCTTGGAGTACCTTTTAGATACCTTAGGATCCTAAATACTGCTTTCATGTGTTCCTCGGTAGGAGCATGCATAAATTGACTAATGCAGCTCACAGCAAATCCAATGTCCGGTCGAGTATGAGAAAGGTAAATTAATCTACCAACTAACCTCTGAAATCTCCCCCTGTCCATAGGACTACTTGAAGTTTCTGTTCCTAGTTTCTTGCTAGGATCCATTGGAGTATCTAACGGCTTACATCCTAGTATTCCCGTCTCGTTCAATAAGTCGATTACATATTTCCTTTGTGAAACAGAGATTCCAGATTTGTTTCTGGCAATTTCCATGCCCAAAAAATACCTCAAAGTTCCCAGATCCTTCGTCTCAAATTCCGAGGACAGTCCTTTCTTCAGCCTCATAATCTCTTCTTCGTCATTACCAATAAGAACAATATCATCAACATAAACAATGAGGATTGTGACTTTCTTACGTCTATGTTTATAAAACAGCGTGTGATCTGCTTGAGTTTTGAAAGAAACCTTGTTTCTGGATTGTCTTAGTGAAGCGATCAAACCATGCTTTAGGCGACTATTTCAAACCATACAATGATTTCTTAAGTCTGCATACCTTTCCTCTCTTGCTGTCTCCATCAAACCTAGGTGGTAGTTCCATGAACACTTCTTCTTGTAGTTCACCATTCAGAAATGCATTTTTAACATCGAGTTGATGAAGTGGCCAGTCCAAGTTAGCCGCCAAAGAGAACAAAACACGTATGGTATTGATTTTTGTCACAGGAGCAAATGTTTCTTAGTAATCAATACCATATGTTTGAGTGTATCCTTTGGCTACTAACCTCGCTTTATGTCGTTCAATCGATCCACCGGCGTTATACTTGATTGTAAAGACCCATTTACAACCAACAGGTACTTTATCTTTTGGCCTGTCCACAATCTCCCATGTGTGATTCTTTTCCAAGGCGTGAACTTCTTCCATAATAGCCTTCCTCCATTCCTCCTTTCCCATTGCCTCTTCAACATTTTTTGGAGTTTCACCCTCAGACAGATTAGCCACAAGAGCCTTGAGTGAAGTTGACAAATGATCATACTCCACAAAATTTGAGATTGGGTGGTTTGTGCAAGCTCTTGTTCCCTTCCTCATAGCCACAGGGATGTCAAGATCATGGCTAATTTTTTTTTAGCCTGATTCGGAGATAGAGTCTTGGCAGTGAGAAAGTCCAGGATTTTTTACCCCCTTTTTCCGTGAGTAAGTCAAGTTAAACGGCTATAGACCACTATGTTTCTGGTCTGCCCGTTTTTCTTCCTGAATTATTGGCCGACTATTTTGATTTTTCTGAGCATCTAGATTTTTTGTTGAGGTCCAGATTTGCGGCTGACTTTGGAATGGGGCTTCGGCTGGATTTGAGGAATTTGGATTTTGAATGGAAGTTGGGGTTTATTTGCTGATCTTTAGCTGGAGTAGGGTCCAGGGTTGGTTGGGAATTTGAATTTATGGCTGAAGTAGGGTCCACGGTTGGCTGGAGCAGGGGATTTGAATTTGAATTTAGAAAAGGCTGAGATGGAGGGTTCCAGAAATATTCCCAGAGGTCAAAAGGTGTCCCCGGATTTTGTGAAACAATTTCCATAAAATTCTCTTCACTCAAATTCTCCCCCTGAAGAGAATTCCCCTGAAAGAACGGCTGGGTTTCAAAAAAAGTAACATCTGCAGATGTGAAATATCTCTTTTTTTCAAAGGAGTAACACCGATAGCCTTTTTGGGTGGCAAAATATCCAAGGAAGAGGCATTTATGTGCCCTTGGATCAAGTTTTGTACAGTTCTGATTAGGAATGTGAACAAAAGCTTTACAGCCAAATATCTTGGGCTCTAAGCTTGAAAACAACCTAGCAATAGGAAAAGATTTTTGAAGGAAATCTAATGGTGTTTGGTATTCTAGAACCCTAGTTGGCAAACGATTAATGAGATAACATGCAGTAAGAATAGCATCTCCCCAGAACCTTTTTTGAACACATGTTGTAAATAATAGAGACCTAGCCACTTCTAACAAATGGCGATTCTTTCGTTCGGCGATCCCGTTTTGTTTAGGTGTATCGACACAAGAGCTTTGATGAATAATTCCATGTTTCAATAAAAAATTACCAAGAATTGAGTTAAAATATTCGGTACCATTATCGGTCCGAAGCATCTTAATTCTTTCATTAAACTGAGTTTGAATCATGGAATAAAAATTTTTAAAAATTTGCTCCCCTCTACTAGCTCGATTCTTGAGTCGATTAGGAACCCAGTTGGCTAGTTTACCATGAATCTCCCAGCAAGTTTCCTTGGTGTGGTAAGGCTTTTGACAATGATCGCACCAGGCCTGCCCCTTTTTGGCGGATGAGCGAATATTTCCTCATTTGTTTGGTGTCTGTGCAACTAATAGAGGTTTCAATCGTCATGATCGCCGTCTCTCTGAGCATTACTCTCCGGCGACATTCTTCACGCCGAACTTCAGAAAAAACTTCATCAATGGATGGCAGTGATCGCATTCCAAGAACACGGCCTCTCACTTCATCAAGTTCTTTATTAAGACCTGCCAAAAACTCATAGACACGATCTTTGTCCTGGATTTTCTTAAACATAACAGCATCTTCAGGATCCCTCCATTGACAAGTATTGAACAAATCAAGTTCCTGCCACAATTTCTTCAAGGAATTGAAGTATTGAGTTACTTCAAGATCTCCTTGTTTGAGATTTCTGGCTTTGTTGCGAAGTTCAAACAACTGAGATGAATACTCGAGGTCAGAATAGGCTAAATTCACAGCCTCCCATATCTCCTTCGCTGTGGGATAAAACAGAAATGTGTCCCCTATGCTGTCTTCCATGGAATGGATTAGCCAGGCCATGACCATCGAGTTTTGAGTGTCCTAAGTGGAGTATGCCGGATCAGTGGAGTTCAGTTTGGGAATTGTTCCATCCAAATACCCGATTTTGCCTTTGCCTCTAATCACCATCTGTGTTGATCGGGACCATTGTAGAAAATTCTTCCCGTTCAGTTTGTGAGTTGTGATTTGCAAAGACATAGAGGAGTTTTCAATGACAGCAGTGGAAATGATTGTGGAGACAGTTTGCGAGGTACCCGAGGTAACCTCAGTTCTACCCGCTCCGCTCATTCCTGTTGTTTAGTTTTTCTCAACTCACATGTAACCTTTAATTCTCTGATACCATAAAAGCTAATTTGAGGAGAAAAACAATCTGTGCACTGCTATATTCATCAGTCAAAACTTACAACTTTACAGGAAAAACTTTACTTTATATAGCCTAGGAGAATAAGTATAACTAACCATCTAACTTCCTAAAAATAAGGAGATAAAAAGGCTAACAAATACACTAGCATAACAACCCTAAAATCCCAGATAATCCAACCATATCTGCTAAACAACAATCAATTTTAATTCAAATCATATTCAATACTCTCAATTACATGCTACACACACATATATATGTTTTAATAATTACTCTAACACTTACCATTAATGGTATCATTATTTTAGCCGTAAGATATTGATCTAATAGTTGTAATAAATTTGATAATGGCCAGAAAAATTCATGACAATTAATCATAGTAGATTCTTATGACATCACGTCATCAAATTTCTATATTTGATGGTACCTATAGATGAAAACAAAACTTGCCTATATACGTATGTATAAGCGTCTGAATTTTGAGAAAGAGAGAAGAATAATATAAAAAAACCTTTGAAAATGCATTTTAGTGGCTACACCCAAGTAGCTGGGTCCAGCTTGTTGCATACAAAGTTGTTCAATATCTTTGTGCAATTCATCGCGCTCTGCAAATCACAATTTTGCACTACATAATTTATGTAATGTACTTAAAAACATCACCCTTATATGAAAAACTTTAAGTGCTCCACCAACTCCCAAAAAAAAAAAAATCATAGAAGCATATTACATACCTTGTTCCAACTGTCGGATGCGAGCAATCAAAGATTCGTTGCTGTTTAAGCTTTCATCCATGTCTGAAGAATTCAAAAATTCCTTTCAAGAATAGTCACAAAAAAAAAATTCCAGTGAAAGCTTTTTTTTTTTTTCTCATGCCACAAGTATTGGGTTTTTCTTTTTTCAATTTTAATTCATAAGTAGAGCTAAAAGGAAAGAGGAAAATGAGAGAAATGAATTGGAAATAATACTGTTTTACCTGGAAGTTGCGCGAAGATCGCTACTTACGGCCAGAAGCCGATAATGGTTTCTTGTGAGGTAGTCCTTAGGACAGCGATTTCTCTTTCTTTCCTTTTTCTTTTTTTCTTTTTTATTGATTTATTAAAAAAAAATTCTTTAGTCCGATTCGGATTTTCTCGCAAGGACCGGGCACATCAACCTGACAGAGATTGAATTAGAGCGCTCTTATTTTTTTCTCTTTCTTTTTTTTTTCTCCTTCGTATAGATTTAGAATTAATCAAACGCTCTGAAAAATACTGTTATATTATATAAAAAATTAAAAAATTTTATAGTATAGAATTAATTTATATATAAATATAAATTTCTTACAATGTATTATAATTTTTATTTCTTTTTTTCTTTTGTTTTTTTGAACTATAAAATATAAATTAAAAAAAAATTAATAATAATTAAAGAAGTTAAAAATATTTAATTATATGTAGTGTAGATCAATATATTTAGAAGTAGTTATATTATTTGATTCTTGGACGTTTTTAGGTGGGTCTGTTATTTTTAGTTTAGAATTGAATTGATTAAAAAGTGTTAAGATATGTATTCAAAATTTTAAATGTTGATATTTATTGATAATTGATATAAATTAATAAGTATGTCTTACCTTGTGATCAATCTTTTTGAATCTGGTGTTTTTAGATATATTATTGTGGCAAGTGATATTTGTAGTAGTGGTATTGAAAGATGGATATCTTCAAATATTTTTGAAACAACTGTAGTTATTTGTGCTCCCTTTTATTGAAAATAAACTTGCAAGATTTTCATTTGTCCTTTTAACTGAGCAATGATTGGTGGAATTACAAATGGATCAGTAAAACCTTCATCAATTGTTAATGTTCATCGATTGCTAATGTAGAGCATGGTTTTTTGATCAATTCTTGCCCTGCTCTTCCAACCACTGAAGTAATTTCTAGTTTAATTTATTTAAAAAAGTGCGACTTTATTTTATTTTAGTGTATTTTTATTTAATTTTATTTTTTATTCAAATTATTTATACTATTATCATTTGAGAGGCTTTAAAAAATTACCACAAAATGATATTGAAATGGATAAAATCGGACTACAAATCAACACCTTTTTTCAATGTTTTTTTTTCTTTTTTAGTTTTTGTTTAGTTTTAGTCTCAAACGTGTGCTACGCACACATAATTAATTTAAAATAACGACTAACACAAATTGTTTAAAAAAAGAAGTAAAAAAGATGACATAAAAGAAATGAAAATAATATAGGAAGAAAATCTTAAGCAAAGAGAGAGGAAAATAATCTAACTTATTTCATTGTGTTTTAAATTAATTCTATTTTTTTGTTTATTTTTATTTAATTTGGTGTTATTTGATTTTAATTTAGCGTATTTTTATTTAATTTTAGTGTATTATTTATGATATTTTTATTTTAGTAATATAAAAAATTTAGCACAAAACAGTAGTAAAACAGACAAAATTGAACTCCAAATTAATTTAAAATAATAAATAACTATAATAAAGAATAAAAATTTAAAAAATAAATCGGAAATGGTTTGAAACCATCCGATCAAAAATTTCGACGGTTGTGATTTGCGTGTGAAAAGCACACGCAATAGAAGTGCGTTCAGCAGCTGGAAGAGGGCAGCTTCCAAGTGGTAGGTCCCGCCACTTTTTCCTCCGGCCAGCCAGGCGTCGACACGTGACAATCCTAGATCAAAAGACGCAAAAGCCCATGCACAGAGAAGGGAAAAGAGAAGAAAAAGAAGGGTAAAATTAACAATTCACACTCAAAGAACAAGGGACAAAAACGAAATATTAGAAATATTACCATACAATGAATAGTAAATTGTGAGTGTGTGAATAGCGAATCTTTCCTTTCTTTTAGTATATATAATAATTTGTAGAGGTACAAGTTTAGCACATGCCAAAACAGGCCGGTCTGAAACCCATTACCATTGACTCAGTCTCGGCACGATTATGTCTGTTTATGTGTTCGAGTCAAGTCGATAATCCAAATGTAAAAAAAAAAATTCGAATTGGCTCAGTCTAAAGCGTTTTTTTATTTATTTTCTAAAACTTCTCTTTTAAAGGTGCGGCTCAACCCTAGCCCTTTGGGCTTTAAAGTCGGGCTGGGCCGACCTAAAAGACTGATCTAACCCTATAAGTTTTTTTTTTCTTTTTTTTCATAATGAATCATGTGCAAGACATGTGATCTAATACAAAAGAATATTTAGATAAAATAAAATAATCATATTTTAATAAGTATTCAAAATAAAAAAAATAAAAAATAAAAAGAAATCTCAAAACAAAAGGAAAAAGAAGAAGAAGAAAATGGCTAGTTTGAGAGGAGAGCAAGGTATGGAGAGAAGCGTAGTGGTGTTGGGGGTGGGAGGGATTGGCTTCGCTGTTAGGAAGGCTGAAATGGTAAAGGCTTGAGATTGGGAGGCTGCAACGGAGAGATGTTTGCAATGTGATAGGGCACGATGGTGAGGGTTGCGATGAAGAAAACTGGTTCGCGGAGGGCCACAAGCCGTCCCTATTATCGGGGGAAGAGTTGGTTTGTGATGGGAAGATCTAGTTTGTGATGAGGAGGGCCGTGACGAGGTCTCCTAGTTTGTTATTAAACTGTTACCCGCCACAATGTGATGTATGTGATATGTTTCCAATGCCAATAAAAAGTTACCCGTCTGATGGCATTTACCATCCAAAAGCCGTTGTATTTAACAGCCAAAAAACCAACAAATACAATGCATCCCTAGCAAAAATGTCACAAGTATTGCCTCGTCTTGAACCATCGCAAGGAAAACTAGAACAAAAATTCTTTGTATCGAGCATTAACTTGTAGCCGTGTGTATCTAAAACCCCTTTATTAATCCAGATAAATCATGATGCCATTGAAATTCGAGTTTCTACGTCAAAATGCAACCCTTTTTGACCCTGTAAGAGAATTCTGTGGCAGGATATAAAAAATAGCCCACCAAAAGAACACAATTTTAACCCTTTCATTACATCAGAATCATATGAAAATAAAATTATAACAAAATTAGATGAAAATCTGACGATTCAGAACTGTACCCTACAATAAATTTTCCAACTTTGTAGCATGTAGAGATTATTGTACGAAAAATAAATAAATAGAAAAGATACAACAAATTAATAAATAAAAAACTGAATGCTAATCCATCAGTAGTTATCTACAAAGATTACTAGCAAAAAAATATTCTAAAAAATAAAGATTACTAGCAAAAATAGTAATGATACAGATACTGACTAAGACTGTGTTGCATCCAGCTATGGAAATGACCTTAACATAACTTACAGTTATAAATAATACAGTGAATTCTAAGCCAAGAAACTAATGAAACTACACTGTGTCAGCAAATGACGAATGTGTCCTCTGGAACTGGAAGTCATCCGAAGATATGTCAATTGCTCTTTATTAACCATTCTATGATTTCCATCAAGGTCGGATCATCTGCATATTCTACCAAAAAATAAACAAAATAAAAAAGACAATCAAATTTCCCTCATGCAAATAATAATAATAAAAAAAAAAAGAATGGAAGCAATTAAAACATATAATACCAGGGGTATATAAGGATGCAAGGATTTAGCATAGATCTTAATTGATAATATCAGGAGTATAACACAGATAAGAACAACAGACTCTGGTTATGGGTCTCTTGTGCACATGAGCCTGGAAAACACATTGGTCAAACTAAATTTCTACCAAAAAAGGGGGCCATTATCAAATCATTAGCACTAAATTGTTTTATGATGGAAAATTTTACTAGAGGTAGGAATCATAACAGTAAAAAGAGAGAACCAGAGCAGTCTGTGGTATTCAATTCATTTCGTGACAAATCGACAAGCATGTGTCATGTATGCATTTCTACAAGTACAAACAAATGGATGTCAACTTCACTTCAATGGTTCTTTCATCTTCTATTTTCCCAATAAAGTTCACCAAACAAAAGTAATAGCCTGTATGCCAAATAGAAATGAAGGGAAAAAATGGCTTTCTATGTCAACAAATTTGCATAAGGTGTTCTACCAAGAGACAATTCTACCTTCCAATACTTTGTCCATTGAAATATAAAGCTTCTCAGTAAGATAATTTGATATAGAAGGTTTACCATCTTCTGGGCGTTTCTTGCTTTCCATGTCTTCATTGCCAATTCTGCAAAAGCTTGTGCTGCTTCTGCATCAGCTTCCGCTTGCTCGGCCTCCCTTGCTGCCTCTTCGGCTTCTGCAATGGCAGCTTCTGCATCCGCAACTGCCCGAGCAGCAGCTGCAGCAGCCTCTTTCTTACTCATGGTTCTCATCTGGGCTAATTCTAAGTCAATCTGGGATTTCATAAGTGCAAAGGTTTCGTCCTTATCAAAATTGGGAGAATCCCTCAGGCGTCCTTCAAACAGTAGTGAGGAGGAAGTCCGTCTTTTGTCGAGAAATGCTGGCGTAGGCGCAATCCTGTACTTGCGTTTGACCTGCAAAGTTAAAAAATGAAGAAACAAGAAATAAGATCCAACTCCTGGTCCATCAAAGCACTACCAGACCAAAAAATATTATGGACGACACACGAGGTCACGGAGATTTTGATAAACACTTACATTGAACACTGTCAGCAAATCCCAACTAAAATTACCAAATGAATTGTACCACTATGGAAATAAGAGTGCTAAGTGAAGAACAGTCATCCAAGTACATATCACCACACATAAATCGTGGTTGCACCAGTAAATGTATGTAGAAATATTCATGTGTATACATGTGAGTATCTGTGTGTGTGTGTGTGAGTGCATCACCAGATTAAATCACAGGCCATGTATGGGTTTATAGTGTGTGTGTGTGTGAAAAAATAACAACCAGCCAGATCAGTAGCATCAGTAAAACGCACCAACTCTTATAACATCTCATAATAATCGATCCTTATTTGCAAATCTAACAATCGGGTTTGATGTTCTATTTTCTTTTCCCCAATTAAAATTACTGCTTTACATATGCCTTTAAAGATAACCAAATTTCAAGTTATTGGTCATTTTCTTTTATTGAAAGGGTACTATAAAGGAAAACTATAAACATGAATATACCATCAGCAACTCCTTAAAAACGCATAAATTGTAAAGTTAAGATTTGTGGGCCTCTTCATTTAAAGAGAAGATGCAATTAGTACTCTTTAAATAGTTCTTAGAGCAATACTACTCAACATTTGTGATTATTCTCTGGAATGATATATTCATCATTCATATCCTAAATCTTTTGTCTGCTTGCAGAAGTAGGAATAATTAGATTCTGCTGCATGCACTAATAAATATCATATCTTTCAACAGTGTAATTATGAACAGCTTTGACACATTCAAATTCAAGGGAAAGAATAAGAAAGAAAACTATTTGTAGTTGATCTAAGTTCTAACTCACATTAAGCGAGCCTTAACTACAGAAAACATTTTTCTCAGATTCACCGTACAATACATGAGACAATACAAACTAAGAACACTTGGCTCTCACAACAATGCATATTAAGTACATTGTAAGAAAATTTTAAGATGTCAAAAAAAGAGAGAGAGAGAGAGAGAGAGAACAAACATGATGATAATTATGGATCCCAAAGGCTTATCTCAAAACACGGCTTTTGTATATGATCCAAAATATGAAATCCCTGAATAAAATAAGGATAAAATGGCTATAGAAGTAGATGTGTAGGTAATGGAATGTAAGAAGGGGGAGGGAGAAAAAGAATAATTACCGACTCAGAGTTCTCCATTCTTCACCCAAAAGTCGAGCACGGGCTAAAAGGTTTCTATCTTAACCTTAATCCCTAAACGCTAACCCTAAACCCAACAATCAAATATCAAGGGGAATTAAGAAGAAAGAGGAAAAGTAGAAAAATATAGCATGGAAATTAAAGAGGGCCAATTTACAGTTCAGATCTTCCTTAGTTGACTAAAAAGGAAAGTTAAACTTTTCCTTCTTGTCAAGTAAAACATTCGGCATAAGGAGTCTGCGCAAAACGAGAGGGGGGGAAAGGGAAAAAAGGAGAAAGGGAAACTATTTATTACATTCAGAATTCAGTATCTTGATATTTGGACTAAAAATCGACATCTATCGCAGGGAAAATATTTACTACATTCAGAATTCAGTATCTTAATATTTCGACTAAAAATCGACATCCATCCCCTACTTCCCCTCCTCACTCATAGAGCTCCCTGCACAGAAGTGCAACGCAGGCAACCTAATAACGTGCCCCTCCCACCACAGCCCCTTGCCAGATGGCAGTAGCAACGTACCTAAACCAGCCCATTTTAACACATCACCTTTGCAAGCAATGAAGAGAACACTTGTTGATAATTAAACAAGGACAAAAAAGATAATTAATAAGTTGAACCATAACTTGTCACCGGCCGGCGACTCAATTCATTAATTTGGCTTGGAACAATATGATATAAGCGTGGACTAGGAGCAAAGGAAGGAAAAAAAAAACCTCCTAAAATGTGTCATGCAAGAAAAATCCACCACCAATCATAGCCAAAGGGAATATTGGATCAAAATCCTTAAATTTTTCATAAAGTTCACTAAATGATTGGTGTTCCCTCAGCATAATGCACACGCTAAAACACTTCCATATAAGTAGGAAATCACCCTTTGTAAAGATGAGTGTTGTCACTCCAAAATACATGGAAACTTTGTTAAAACAGACATCTGATCAATGGACAAATATCCAGAGACAATACCATCCATGGACAATACAAATATGATCCATACCTAAGTCCATAGTTGTACTAGTTTTAGCAATGTGATCACTATCTGGATAGTAACCATAAGTCGAGCTCATGCCAAGGCCCTGTAATTTCAGGTACTGTTCTTCCTAGTTTATTAGAATACTTATTTTGTCTCAACTGATAAATACCACAAAATATAAAAATTTACGTCTCAAATTTTGTCAATTAAATTTTTTGTAACCTAAATAAATTAAAATAAAAAGATTCAGATAAAATTTTGTGTCCCTGGAGTTGAAGTCTAGAAGACTGAAGATCAGTGAGTCCCCATTCATTGCAAGACTGTCATTTCACACAAAATGTATACATCTGCGTCATACCTTAATCAGCTTCCCGTTTGCTGTCAAAAACTTTAACTTCGCCGACAATAGCCTTTTAAAGTCTGGAGGAGCCCAATATTGTTCCTATAAGAGGAAAGCTCAGAAGGTCTTACACAGAAGAGAACCGGGGGGGTGTTAAGGGGGAAGGAAACATATACACACATTGCCAAATCATAAGCCTCAAACTATAAGAAAGATTATCCAACAGAAGATTTTCTTCTTTTTTTAATGAATGAATAGGCCATTAAAATCCACATTTAAGTGTTTAACGCTCATCTGTCCTCTTATTATGTAGCCTGTCAATTTATAGTGTTCGTGATTTAGTTTGGTTCAATCGGCCAATACAAGACCAAAAGTCATGATACTGGAATATCTAACAGAAAAAACTGCATAGAGAATTAAATAAGAATAGTTCAACTGCATTGAATAAATAATAGATTACCTCGATATATGTAGCAATTGTTGTCTTATTAGAACCCCCAGGCTCCTTCAAGTCAGTGATGGCCTCCATTATAAGATTGTCCAACCTACAAGCATGAATAGCTTTAGCAATTATGGTAGCATAGTATTTACAATTTCCAAGACTAAAATGTAACATGAAAGGAACTGCTTAAGAAATATTAATAGCGTGATATAAAACATAGTTAGCTTCACATAAACTTAAAAAAGGAAATGTAGAGTATTTACACATACCATGATTATAAACCAAGGATGAAGAAGTGAACAGAAAATACTGTTATAAAATTAAGAATCTCAATAACAGAAAGGGTGAAATATCAAACTCAACAAGGGCATCTAACCTTCCGATAGATCTTTTTGGCCCTGAACTCTGATGTGTCTGCTGCATATCAGCAGAACCCTCGAGCAGCATGGCTTCCCCAGTTTCTTCATCACTTTGCACAGCAACACTAGCACTAGAAGTAGCGTATTCATCTTGTTTAGGAACCTGCTGGACCCTTCTCAGTGCTACCCTAGCCTTATCCCGAGAGCCCCATCCATTTACCATAACACTCATGTTTCTCCATTTGTCCTGCTCATGATGAATGCCAAAAAAAAAAAAAAAAAAAAAAAAAAAAAAAAAAAAAAAATAAAGAGAAAGAAAGGTAAAAATTCCTTAGGCCTCGCCGCCAGCCGCGGAAAAAAAAAAAAAACAACAAACGTTACTTGACAATAGAATGTAGTCTGCATAGGCTCACTGTTACAAGAAGCTACGACAGAACGGCTTAAAGAAGCAAAAACTTCAATTTTATTACCATTAAATTAATCTCTCCAAAGAAAACAGCATTAAGAGAAATATACCTTAAGATCTACATTTGAGCGTAGATACAGGACACTACTAAATTCTGGATCTTTAAGTATTGTGCGCCATTTTCCTGCTCCATGTTTCACAACTCCAGCTTTAAGAGCTGATTCTTCTTCTTGTGTCCATTTTTGCTTTGGAGCACCCATAAAAAGTAGCAAAAAGGAACTCAACCGGAAAAACTGACCTGCAAAACACAGAGCCCTATAGCAAACCCACAGAAAAGAAAGAGAGACATATTTTTAATGAAGAAAAGGAAAATCTTGAAAGCCACCAATAGTTATACAAGTAAAACACACAAGTCGACAAAAATATGTGCACGCAAACGCGCAAACGCACAAGTGTATGCACACTGACCAATCCGAAGACACGCACGTAGAGTATCAGACGCATGTCTGTAAACTGTCAAGAGATAAAAGCGGTGATAATAGAAAGAGCTAATACAGGAAATCGTTCAATGATAATTCATCAATCCAGCAAACATGCTTAAACTACAACTCTCGACAGTGGCATTCAGTATGCAATAAACAATATGAACGATTACGTAAGAAAATACATTGCTCTTTTAGCCGGCTAGGGAACTAAATTCAAATGAACATTAATTTTTTCTAGCAAGGAGAGAGTAGCATTCAATTTCATTCATGTGCAAGTAATTTAAAAAAGACACCCATCCACAAACCAACACACTAGACCTTCAAATTAAATGATGGGTAAAAATTCTAAATGCCTCAGTTTTAAATGCAACTTATAAATCAGCCAAAATCTTCTTTTACGCAAATCTTTGTTCTAGTTTATCAGCTCTAAGCCCATGTACTAAATTCAACAACTGATGCCCAATTCATAAACAACTCTAAGAATAGTTAGAAAGGCATTGTTATAATTTGAAAAAACCAACTCATGGATTAGCCAATGTCAAAGATGGCACATAAACAAAAAGTAGCATGTACAGAATTACATTTGAAACTCAAATTTCATACCATGAACAGAATTACATTTGGAACTCATACTTTATTAAGTTTTTCATGCAAATTTGAGGGATAAGAAAAGCATTTAAGAACTCAAAGTATTTTCTCTACTCTACCGAGAAACATATTCAACTATACTGGCTACATCCTCAACAAAACCATAGACCTATCAGAAAAAATCTAGCAGGGTAAAAAAAAAAGGTGAAATTTTCAAATAAATTAGCATAATCAAAACATAACATTGAGAATCATTTTCTTTTGAAACCATAACGCTAATAAGTCTAATTTCTCTTTAATCTGTATTAGTTAACTTTTGCTTTCTTTGTGGTTCTTACATAAAATTGGTTATCATAATTGTAATTGTTTACTATTTTCCACAGTTAATGAAGTTTTGCACATATATTTTTACAAAGAAATAATAAACAAACAAAGTCTTCACATATATTATATATGCATGTGTATTCATAAAAGTTCAAATTATCTCAATTTCACCAAAACAAATCATAAAATCGAAGGAAAAAAAAAAGATAAATAAACAACAATAAAACTGAAGCAAACAAAAACAATAAACTTCTATTAGATTTTCTTCATGTTAACAAACCAAAAAGAAAAAACAAAAAGAAATGAAATTTGAGAACCTTGTTTTTCTTCTCCTCGTTTTCGCCTCCTTAAAACAAGAAACCAAAATTGAAAATCTCTCTGAGTTTCTTGGTTTATATATTCAAAATCTCACAAAAACGTAGATTGCAAAACGACGGAAGGGGAAATATATATTCATTTATGGTTAATTTTATTTTTCTAATTTAGTCGAGTCTGAAACAAGGAATTGTGAGAATAATCACCGATTAGGGCTTTACGGTGGGCTTGTCTGGGGGATCAGATTTTTTTTGTTGTTGTTTGGTTATTGTTGCTCCGTCAAGAGAACAAACGACACGAGCCAATTCCGGTCTCTTTAGAGAGAGAGAGAGAGAGAGAGAGATGGGGATTGGAAAATGGAACGTGCCAAAAAGAGATAACGCCGTTTGTCCTCCGCCGAGACATGAAAAATGAAACGACATCGTTGGAAGGTCTAAAAGACATCTGGCATCAACTAACTCTCTGAACACACGACGAGTTTTGTTTGTGTGCGTAGCACGGATTTTATTTATTAAATAATTTAACAAAAATTTATGCCCGTTGAATGAATCAAAAATTTGCAGGACGTTTTAAAGGAAAAGAAATATATATCTATTGAAATTTGGAGAACGTTAGACGTTAAAGTTGAGGTTGTCAGCCGACCTGTCTGTCTGAATGGAAATTTTGGATTTGGTACGAGAGAGGAACGGTCTAACTTGATTTTAAAGCTCGAAAGATAGGACTGGCTCAAAATTTTATTAAGTATTTTAAAATATATCTTTAAAAACAAGTAGCACGGCCGAATAATTATTTAAGCTTGAAATCTTAATCCGTCCCGATTAACGATAACAGATCTCAGATCGATTAATTTAATACGATCCAAACTTACAGCTCTAGAGAACATAAAGCTTTCTTTTTCGTCCTAAACAAAATGTCTGAGAAAGGGACATCTGATAATAGCATACTTTTTTCTTGCATTATCAAATGAGCTTTTAAAATGCTGACATAAATATTCATTTAAGATTCTGCTATCAAGCTGTAACAATTAATAAAAAATGCGTCACACCAGACACACCAAATGTATTAGTAGTGATGATACATGAGAGCGTTATTATAAGCACTTTAAATTGAGTGCTAAATTAATAGGGGTTAATTTTCACATTTAAAATCCTCAAATAATACCAACATTTTACTCAACAATTCTTGTATTTTTACTCAACAATATATGTAAAATTTTGTGCTTTTACCTTTTCACTTATGATTTAGAACCGATGCTACGTTTCTTGTTGTTTATTAGTCAATAATAGAAGAATTTTGCATGATCAATTAAACAAAATAATAGTTATGTATTTAAGCTGCTTCTATCATTTCAAGTTTAAACTTACGATGATTTTTTTTTTTTTTTTAAAAAGAACCAAAATGAATATGAAAATAATTTACAGAAGAAAATGTTTTTTTTCCTTTTTTTTTTGAAAAAAGTTGGAAAATATTGAATTGAGAGTACAAAGTAATGGCCCGTTCGGTTCGTTAATTCGAGTTGAGATGCAATGTTATGTGAGAGCTTTTTACTATAGCAAAAAAGTTAAATGTGACTGTTTCTGAGAGCTTTTTACTGTAACAAAACTCGAATTCTAAACTCAAATCAGCAAAATGAACAGGGCTGAAATAAATCACAACATTAGGCAATGAAATAATAATTATAAACGCATGAGAAATTGAGAATCAAATACATTTTCAAATTCCATTGGGGCTGTTCGGCAGCCCCTTTTTTTAGTCAAAAATTCAAAAAAAGCAACTCGAGTTATAATTTTATTCAAGTTCGTGTTCTTTTAAGTTTGAACTCGAGTTTGGGACTAAAACTCAAGTTCAAGTTTCCACTTCAACTCGAGTCCAGAAACTCGAACTCAAATTAAGGAACAGTATTTTTTATATTCTTAAAAATACTATAACTTTTTCGTTTTAATTTTGATTGAAATGATTTTTTTCTATGCATTGACAATGAAAATACGAATAAAACTCCACCCATATGCCCTATTAAAATTTTTCATCAGCATTGAGTTTTTATTAAAATACTATCTAAATACAAATTCAAGTTTTGACTCACTCAAATACAAATTCAAAAAGATTCTTATCTCAAACTATAACTCAAATGTACACAATTAAACACAAACTCAAGTTACAACTTCAACTTAAGTTATAACTCAAATTTAACTCAAAATCTACTATCAAATTACCCTAACTCAAAAATGACAAAAGAACAACCTCATTTGTCTTCATGCAAACGCATATGCTTCAAATTATTCGAGAATGTTCCATCTATGATAGACCGTTGGAGGTGCCACGTAGTGGTCAACTATCCGTACCTGACATATAATGCCTTCATACTTGCCAAATAAGAAAACAAATCACAGGTGGAAAACCGTAATTTGATGTTTGTTTCCTTTTTATGCATTGAATATTTCTTTCCCATTTAGTACAAAGGTGTCTGACAATCAAAATCAATCATAATACCAAAAACAAAAACAAATACTATTTCCGCACTGCTACTAAAATATGAAAGTTTGTTGTTAGTGCCATGTTGAACACTGTCATATACCTAATATATAATCTAAGATAATTAGAAATTTTCATTTTTGGTAAATGTTGGGCCCAGTAAATTCGGTGAGTACAACGTGCTCAAGGTAAACACGTGCAATTATCAGATTTAGAGGTGTTGATGTTGACACGAATAAAACACGCAACGTCCACAGAGAAACTTGTACAATAGGACCTCCAACAAAGAAGAGAGTGATCGGTTAGGCCCAAAGTAAGCCGAAGAAAATGGAGCTAGGGCCCACTTTGTCGCCAACTTACCAAGACGCTAACTTACGCACATGGGAAGACTTCGGATACAGTCATGGAGATCGCATAGACGAAGTATGGTGGGAGGAGTAACTGAACAATTGATGGAGCTTTGACTCGAAGAGTGTGGATAAGGCTTATTTAGAGAAATGCTACGAGGACAAGCACAAGGTTGCTTCCGGAGTGGATGTATGATTTGATTGGTATGGATAAGTCTACTTGGAAGAGCTGGTGAATTCTCACTCCGGAGGAACGCAGGTCACTTTGTGAGCAAGTTTTACGAACTTCCAACAGAGAAGGCAAAGTCCACTTCAGAGGAACATAGGTTCCTTTGAGAGAAGATGTCAACAGACAAAGTTTTACGGCTTTCCGGAAGTGTGCTTCGAAGCGGCGGAATCCAGCCACGAAGGTGGATTTTCAGACTCCCAGAGAAACCTCAGAAACTTCAAATGTAGCTTGTAGATGAGTTTGGATGGATTAAATAAAGTGTTTTGAGACATTTTGATGATGAACACTCAAGATATGGGCAGAGTTCAGAACTCACTCGAAGATCTTCAAGCCTGAGCAGCACAAGCTCGAAGAACTTAAGTCTTTAGCACAAAAGACTTGAACTCTCAAAAGAGAATCACTCGGAGTTTTGGCTAAGGAAGAGACCTTCTCAAATGGTCAAGTATATGAATGGTCTGAGTCTTGTTATGAAGTGCTGGTGAAATGGGGTATTTATATAAGGAGATTGAGAGATTTTGGCGGTCACTCTAGAGTCGTACAATCACACCTTGTCAGAGGCTTGTATGAACTATTTCCCTCCGGAGCACCTGCATCATGTGGCTTTCCTCTCTGACAAATATTTTGGTCAAAAATGGGTGTATTTGCAGACCAAATCTGGAATTCTCGCTGACATTGGACCTTCCCTAAGTCTGGAGATCATGGAGTGTTTAACTAAGTCTGGTGCTCTGTAGGCGCTTCTATTCTTGGAGGTCTGAACGCACATCAAGCTAGCTCCAGAGTGCCGCCTTTCGTTTTTGGCTAAACAGTCATCGCTGGAGTACATGGAGCACGAAAAGAACGTTTAGACACAAAGAAGGGAGGTATCTTCGGTCACTAAGGAGTCTCTTGGAGCATGGGAAGTATCTATGTGGTAGCGTCCACATTTACGTCTTCAGAACTGGCACAAAGATGAACTTCAGCTAGCTCTAGAGCAACCTGCTCCAGAGAAAAAATGCTCATGGGCTGACGCTAGACGAGAAGGTCTTATAGCTTAAATTCCGGGCTTTTGAGTATCCAAAGGCTAAGGAAATGACTTTTAGGACTCCTAAAGGACGAGGTAAAAGACTCATAAGGTTAAGTTCTCCATCACCGACTTATTCCTCAGCCCGATTATTTTAAAACCCCTAAGTAGGACTCAAAATTAGATCAGACTAAAAAATAAATCGGCCCATTCAATTACCTATGGCCCACCAAACTACTGCCTATGCGAGTTCTCTAAGCGTGGCTTGGGTCCACGAAGCAAACCTAATAGTGTCACGAGATAGAATTATTAGGCACGGACCCTTGTACAGACCTTGTACAAAAATGACCATCAACAGTAAACAACTTCTTTTGCTTAAATTTTTGGTAAACAAATTGCTTAGTCGATATTACTATTACAATTTTGAGCCCCTATTGTTATTGTTTTATAAACAATGAAAGAAATAATAAAAAAAAATGTGCACAATATTGTTATTATTTATTCATCAAGAAAAACCATATCTTTGAAGTCACTTAGAGCAGTAACTAAAGTTAATGGATCGTCGAAATTAGTGATTGGGTGAGTGATCTCCTTTTTTTTTTTTGTGGGAGTTACTAAAGGATTAAGCCATTGGTGGTTGGTAGAGCTGTAAGTTTAGGCCGAGCTAAACCGGCAGGCTCGAAGCCTGCTAATATTGGCCCAAACCTGACCTTAAATTTTTTAGATTTATGGTCGAAATAGGCCGACTCTTTCTCCTTTAAGATCGGCCCGGCCCAAATATCATATTTTTAAATACTTTTAAAAAAAATATCTTATAAAATATCGAGTCAGGCCAGTCATGCCCTCAACTTTTTGACCTTAAAACTGTGTTAGCCGATCCTTTCTATTTTAGAGTCAGCCTCGCCCAACCCAAAATTTTCTGTTAGACTGCCAAGTCTAGGTCGAGCGGCCCAAACTCACACCTCTAGACTAGTTGGAGTCGCGTGGATGATAAATTACTGAAAATAATAATAATAATAATAATAACAACAACAATAATAATAATAAACAAGAAGAAAATAAGAGAGGTTAAAAAAAATACTCTAACTACAGATGTCGGCTGATGACCACTAGCTCTAGCCTCTGTTGACAAACTCCGTTGAATGACTGATTGATCATCAATTGAGTGATTCTAACTCAAAGCCAAAGGCACTACAATCATCACTAATAATTAACGAGGAACGGAAAAAAGGATGATGTTCGCCTAATTTTTGAATATTTATTAGAATTTCGTCACCTGAGGCCCGCAGTTTCTTGAACAGAAGGTATTCAGAAGAGAAAATTATAAATGCATCCCCTTAGTTTTTTTGTCGACTTTTTCTCTTTTAGTCAGCATGTCCTTAGTTTAGCTAATAGTTTTGTATTTTTCTCGTAGAAAATTGTCCTTTGTAAATAAACTAGTTAAACTCTAGGTGTGATGCACGTGGAAAGTAACTGTGTATTGAATTTTAGTCATTGTGCTATTTAAAATTAAAGAAAAAAATGAAAAATTTACTCTTGAGAATACGTGAATTTAAACTTTTATCATTTATTCTGGATAAACACTCTTTTATTAGTAAATTATTTGACTAAAAAGGTTGAGAATAAAAAATAAATGGTAAAAATCCTTACCCGTGTATTTTTAAAAAAATATTTGTCAAGATTATTCATTATTAAAAGCATAGAAAATCTGAATAAAATTGCAAAAAGAAAGAAAATGAAAAAAAAAATTAGGCAAAAAGCTAAAAAGGGGTTTAAAAAGCACTAAAATGAGGAAAGAAATAATTTTTAGAGCAAAATGGCCCAAAAATAAAAAATAAAAAAAATAAAGTTTCAAGGTAAAAAGAAAAAAGTGGTAGAAAAAAAAAAGCTAAAATGAAGAAATTTTAAGGCAAAGGGAACCAAAATGAAAAAATAAAATTTCAAGAAAAACGGATTAGAAAAGGACTAAAATGAAGAAAAAGATGAGTTATAGGGAAAAAACGATCAGAACAAAAAAAATAAAATTTTAAGATAAAAACAAAAAATGAATTTAAAAATGACCAAAATGAATAAATAAGTAAGTTTTCGGGTAAAAGAAACTAAAACAAAAAAAAGAATAAATTTTAGGGCAAAAATAAAAAGGGTCGAAGAAAGACTAAATTAAAGAAAAAAATAAAGTTTGAGGGGAAGAAGGAATCAAAATGAAAAAAATTAGAGCAAAAATGAAAAAAAAGTCAAAATCACATAAATAAATAAGTTTTAGGGTAAAATACTAAAAAATAAAATAAAATAAAATTTCAAGAGAAAATTAAAAAGGATTATTTATTAGGGTAAAAAGTTTTTTAAAAAAAAGGAAGGGTAGAGATTTCGAATTTTCAATGGGCGTTTTGATCGAAACGTCCTTTAACAGTGAAAGCTTTTGAGCTTTCTTATATATTAAGAGGATGTTTGGTAGATGAATTTGTTCCCTAATTCGAATTATGATTCGTAGTTCATTACAATATTTTCTCTCATATAAAATTCACATAAATCAAAAATAATTCGAATACATGATTTAAATTCTTCAACCAAACGTTCTCTAAAAATAAAAAAATGCATGGGATGCATTTCAACCAAAACGCCCACATTTTGGTCGAATGCCCCAAACAGTGAAAGCTTTTCAGCTTTCTTATATATAGAAAAATACAGGAAAAGATAAGCACAAAAATTATTTTATAGTATTTAAAGGTTGCCATTAGTCTTGTCTTCGTACACATCAAACTTGACTTGAGGGGCATCCAACCTAAGGGGTCATCTTTATCTCTGCATAAAAATAAGGACATTCGCTACCTCGGTTTCATACTACCAGTTATCGTGGAGGTGTATAATCCGCCACTTTTGGTCAAAGGATGTTTTTGCCTTTTGCTTCATCTCAATAACACGTACTCAGCAGATCACGCTATTGTTTGACCAACTTCCGAAGTCATAATTGAAGGTTCTAGATTTCGGATGTGGGATGCTAACATTTGGTCTGAACAACAAGAAAACTATCATTTAGCCTGTAGATGTGTGGCGGCAGTGAGAAGATAATTGTGGCTCGTTTAGTTTATTTTAATTTAAATTATGATGTGATTTTATGTAAAATAATTTTATTATAATAAAAAAATTAAATATTATTATTTTTTAAAATATTTTACTATAGTAAAACGTAAATTGGTAAAATGATTGAGACCTTAATGTATTACATTTAGTTGAGTGAATAAAACGATAGAAAATGATACATGGAGGCTAGTGGGTAATTTTTAAAAACTTGTTCATTTGCACTCAAACTCAAAAAAAAATTAAATTCAATTTACAACTTTATTTAAGATAATGTTCTTTTTTAAAATTTTACTTTAAACTTGAGTTTTAACTTAAGTTTATGGTTAAAATCTGAGTTTAAATTTCTCTTTCAACTCAAATTTCTAAACTTAAACTTAAGTTAATAAATAATATTTTTTCTATTCTTAAAAACGTCATAACTTTTTCATTTTAATTATGATTGAGATGATTTTTTTTATGCGTTCACAATGAATAAACGAGTAAAACCTCACTCATATACTCTATTAAAATTTTTCATCACCATTGAGTTTTTATTAAAACACTATCCAAATATAAATTCAAGTTTTGACCCATCCAAACATAAATTCAAATAGTTTCTCAATTCATATTATAACTCAAAATGTACACATTAAACACAAACTCAAATTAAAGTCACAATTCAAACCGTACTCAAATACACCTTAATTCAAATTAAGATTTGAATTTAAATCACACTAACACAAAAAATGCAAATGAACAAGGGTTCAAAGTCTCAAAGACACACATTGCAATCATATTAAGAGTGAAATTTCTTATGGCAGAACGGTAAATTCTAAGGTTTAAAATTTGGCCCACCAATTTCATAAATTTCAAGATTTACAGTGTTTTTGTCCCCTAAGGCTTTCTAGCAAATTTTCACCACCACTTTTGGTTTTGACAAATCGCTCTCTACAATTAATAAAGTGCTTCGAATAACATCAAATCAATGATGGTTCTCAAATTTTAAGCAAAAATAACATTGTCCATATCATTATTATGTAAGCTCGTTTGAAGGGCATATATTAAAGTTTCTAATAACAAAGGAGCACGTCATATAACGTGTATGAATATGATTCCGTTCAAAATTTAATCACCATCATCTATTCGGAAATATTCTTTTGAATTAAGAAGTAGCTTGTTAAAATTAAAAATTTAAGAATAACTTGTCAATGTTTCTTAAAATAAAATCAAGGGGCAAAGGCACCCAATACTCTAAATTCTGTTATGCTTGCAATTTAAAAAAACTCAGCACATGTTTGTATCAAAAACAGTTGGTATCACATATTTGTTTCTCTTTCTTGCACGTTTTCCTCTCCAAAATCCATATATTCCTTTAGAAGATTCTACCAACCTCCACAAACTACCCAGACGCCACCAAAGCATAAATTCCTTTCTCCAGCTAGCTCACTATGATCCCCAAAAAGACGCAAATCCAACCCACCCAAGCACATTATTATCAAAACAAAAGCTAAAAACAGCTTTAGTTTTAACAAAATGAAGAATAGCTGTCTATCCCACCTTCCTCACTCAACAAATCAGGATCTCCCTCAAACTTTTTATAATACTTTTAAGAAAATTCAAAAGCACCCAATTGCAAAATATACCACATTGATAGAAATATTGACAAAATAAACGAATTTCACTGAAATTCTTCGTCACAGAGAAAAATATAGGTCTGATTGCAAGCAAAGGTTCTTAAAACAGTCAATATACTAGGGGGAAAAAAAGACGAAAATAAAACAAGTAACAGATGGGACATCGTCTTATGACAAGAAATTCCAATAGAATTTGTGTACGTACGTCTGTCCGATCAAACAGACTTCATATCAGAATGATGCACATTTGCCAATCAAAAGCATGCGTCCAACAGACAGCAACAGCACAGAGCCGCCAAACTGCACCAATTTACATCAAACAACAAATTGTTAAATCAGAATTATACAAATTAAGATCCAAACACTATTTTGGATAAACTCAAAGTTCAATTCGCTAATGTAAATTTTAAAAGAATGTTTTCCCCCAAAGAACAAAATTCTTAAAAGAATGTCAAATGCAAAAGTAGTTTAATTTCAGCTAGCCAAATTCTCAGTAAATTTTACTTTTAGACAAACAAATCTTGCTTTGATTTCTCATCTTAGTTTTCCTTTTTTTTTCATTAGAGAGAAAAGCTTCCAAAATTTACATGAAAATTAATGGTCTCTTGTATCGATTTAAATTTCGTAATATAAAAAAATAAAAACAAAAAACAAAAATCTCATCTTTTCAGACCTCGTTCATTTCACCAATTTAAATTTTAAATTTTAAAGGTTCATTTGATACGAGAATTTAAATCAGAATGATTCTAATCATGATTCTAAAACAAAAACTATAATTTATGATTTTGAGTTCAAATCATAATTCTGAAACAATGATTCAAAATCAAGAGTTTGAATCACCTTGAATCAAGAGGGGAGTGATTTTAGAATCATAATTTGAGCTAGTTTAAAACATCACATCAGATTCTGAATCATAATTCAGAATCATCCAAACCAAACACCGATTCTGAATCATGATTCAAAATCTCTAATCCCTGTAAACAAACACTAATTCTGAACTAAGACCCATAATCATAATTGTAGATCATCTACCAAATATACCCTAAATTTCTACAGATAAAAAAAAATGTTATATCTAACTTTTTTTAACTTTTTTTATTATAGGTAAAAACTCTCAAAAAAAAATATCATATTTCAACTCAAATTAAAAATTTAAATCTACAAAACTAACAAACGAGAGGTAAGACGGCTAAGAACCTTAGACCATTAATACAAAAATCTCGACTTCCTAGACCATAAAAATTTGTCGTTTACAACCTTAAAGACATCGAAAAAAGCCAGAAATACACACAAAAAGACAATTAAGTCACTGAAGAACTCTTTTGTGTTATATCCACTAATATAAACACGCGAAGGGTATTTTGGGAACAACAACTACCACACGATAGTATTGCCGTCGAAAGTCGGTGCCAAACGCGGTTATTGGTTATCAAAAGGCCAAAAAGAGAAGGAGCACGTTAACTATCGTGCGCTATAAACAAAACCGATTTGACTCGTTCGAAACTCGGAACGCACAAATCACTCCAGATCGTCCGAGTCTCTCAGATCTGAGTCATCGAACCGCGTTAAGAAGAATCGGAGAAAGAGAGAGAGAAGTCCAAGAGGAAAACGTACCAGCCTTCCAATAATCCGGTGTTCTGTTGCCGCTGAGGCGGAGGCTGGGCGTACTGAGGAGCGTAGGGCGGCGGATATCCCTGCTGGGGATAACCTTGGGGAGGATATCCCTGCGGGGGATATCCCGGCGGCGGATAAGCGTCCTTGGAATATCCCTCCGGTGGATAACCTGATTCGTTTGTTAATTCACAAAAAGTTTCAAATAATCAGAACCAAACACAAAAGAAAAAATTCAAATAAAGCTCTAATGCGATAGATCTGAGGAAATCATGAGAACTGGAAAATTTAAATGGACGGACCTTGCGGCGGAGGAACGCCGACAGGAGGTTGCTGCTGGTTGTAGTAACTCATTCTTCTTTTTTCTTTATTTGTGAGAGTCGAAGAGAGGCGTTTGGTTTGGCAAATAATGAGAGAAGATTTTTTGAGGAGAGAGAGAGAGAGAGAGGTGCACACGATGGATGAAGTGGGTCTGTGTTGTTATTATTATATTACCAACAGATGGGGAAAAAGAAAAAGAAAGGAAAAAAAAAAGGAAAAAGAAAAAAAGAAAAAGGAAATGGTTGCTGATTAGGAGTCACTACCGAGGAAGGTTATCTTTTGGGGATAAAAAAGGGAATAAGAAAAAAACAAGAATAATCTTTTTTCTTTTTCGTTTGAATTACAAGAACATTTTCGGGAGTGGATTAGTGGAATAAGGAAGTTTTGTCAAAAAAAAAGGAATAATTAAGCTATATTAGTCCTTAAATTTTGTGTATCTAGAAAAGCTAAAACTTTACAAATAATACAAGTTAATATTACATGTTTTATTAGTTTTATTAGTATTTTGATATTATTTATATTTATTTTATATTAGGAATTCCCATAATTTAGGTACTTAGCCTTTGAATATAGGTATATTGTTGTGTTATCTTTTCCTCTTATTTTTTAAAATTTTAATATTGTGACATTTTCGTCTTTAAACTCTTTTAAATTTTTATTTTTAACTGTTTTAGTTACTGGTGATAACATTAATTTTAAATTTCTACAATGATAACTTAAAAACTATTGTGCGGTAGTAATGTGATTATATCTGTTAAATTTTTAAAAAAAAAAATTAATAATTTTGTGTTGAGATCAATATTACTAGAAACAAATCAAGGTCAAAGTTATTGAAAATAAAGTTTATAGATCAACTAATTATATTTATAAACCCCTAATCTTCAGAGAATCCGAAGCTTAAGCCAAATCTGAAGCTAGAATAAAGAGGAATAAATTATTCAAGTAGCCAAGCTTGGGGTCTATAACCACAATAAGAATACCCGTGATCCGGGGCATTCAGCAGCTGAAGTTGATGATTTGTTTTCCAATTTTTTGGACCCTAATGAATCGAGTATGAAGGGGTCAGTCAGTCAAGCGGTTCGGGTTCTCGGTCGGTTCCCGTTCACCTGCCCGCTTTTGGGGGCAGGAGTGCTTGGTCGCTGGGGTTTCCTTTTCCTCAACCAATTCGGTTGTGTCAACGTATGCATCCTTTTTCAAAATGTCCATAAATTTTCAAAACCGTTTTAAATTACCTCTCAATCTATAAAAAAACAGTTCAAATGACTTATTTTGTTCACTTCCGTCAATAATCTTAACGGTTTTGGTAAATGGTAAATGATAGTGTCATGGCATGTCCTATAGTGGTTTGACAGTGAGGTTGCAACATGAAAGGTGCACAATATTCACTTAAAATAATAATAATAAAAGTATACAGTGAAAAATCAACTTTGTTTTTTCATAATTCAAATTATAATCGCGTTTGGTTCATGGATTCAAATCATGTGATTAGAACTATTTTTGATTTACGTGTATTTTTTGTGAGAAAAAATACTGTAGCGAACCACGAACCATGATTCGAATCAGGGAACGAATCTGACGTTTGGTTTATGTATTCAGAATCATGATTCAGAATCATTCTTGTTTTACGTGTATTTTTTATGAGAGAAAACACTGTAGAGAACTATGAATCATGATTCAGAATCAGAGACGAATATAGAAAACAAACGTCACCAAACGAACTCTAAACTTTTTATTATAATATTTTTTCTCAAAAAAATTTAAATCTAATTTTTCTGTTACAAAATTTTCTATTATATTTTTTAACGTCAGTTCTCAATTGGAACAAAAAAAGTCATCCAGTAGAGACGAAAACCGGGGCAGGCAAGTTGCGAAGCAGTCAATCAGCCAAAAAAAAAAAACAAAGGTAACGCCTTCCCGGGTAGTCAAATAACACGGGTTAAATTATTATTATTCCAAAAAAAAGAGGAAAGTTAATAAGGAAAATTTAAAAAGGGATGTGGTTTGTTAGAAAAACACGGCAAATTATGCAATGTCGCGTCCAATGCGTGTGCTCTCCCTCCAAACGGAGGTCTAACTTGGGAGAGCAGCCCTGCCAATTGCAACTTTTATCCAATTATTTTCGAGATTTTTTATCGAGGTAATCAATATTTTCGAGATTTGAATTTGGGACTTCGGCCAAAAATATAAAGCATAAAAAATAAAGTTACGAGACATTGGTAGTAAAGATATCGTTTTCATAAAAAGTACTAAGATACTTTCGTGTCATCTATTTGAAAAAAATAATAATAATGCTAATGACAGTGATTTTTTAATCTCAATTTATGATTTAGCAAAAATCTCAATTTATGTATTAATTCATGAAAAAAAATTTTCTACTGTTTCTTCTCGTTTGATCTTTTTGGGTGTTTTGGGTTTTGTTGTTTTCTTTTTTTCTACATTAATATGGTTTTTTATTTTTTTTTTGATCTATTTCAGAAAATTTTTTTTCCTTTTACCGTTTCATCTCTTCATCTTGACGTTTTATGTTTTTTTGGGTTATGTTGTTCTGTTCTGATTTTTTTTTTGTTTACATGATTTTTCTTGCAAAGATATTCAGAAATGTTTACTTTCTCAGCGTGCAAATATCCATAGCTCATATTCTTTATATTTTTCACTTTTTCTCTTGGGGTTTTTTCCTTTTTTTCTCCCTTTTTATTTCTTATTTTTGGGCTCTTTTTTTGTTCCCGTTTACTCTTTGTTGATTTTTTGCTTTATTTCTTTAAATTTTTTATTTTGGCCGACTTTTAATTTTTTCAGTTTTCTTTTTTCAACCTTTTTTTTTTAATTTGTGATTTTTGGCTTTCATATGTTCATGTTTACTCTTTGTTGATTTTTTTTTTGTTTTTTTATTAAAATTTTTTATTTTGAGCGACTTTGCACAATTGTCAGCGTCTTATTGTGTTAATATTTTATTCCGACACGTGCATTTCTTATGCTTGAGTTTTGTATACTGCATATCTAATCTCTCGCTGTCCATTATTTATTGGCTGTGTTTTGCGGTCATCTTCATGCTTCATGATAGTTGTCGTTGATTAATCATTATTTTGATCGATTTTACTTTGCAAGAATTTGTATCGGAGATTGAGCAAAATTTTGATAACTTTGTTTATATATAATGCATGTTATTTTATTGCTATAATTCCTCACTTTCTCTTTGTTTTCATTATTCAGATATTATGATCTATCCTCTTTTGTGTTCTCTGTTTTCTTACTGTTTATCTTATTGATACTAGGCTTCTATTATTATTTTCACTGTCTTTCGGATATTCAGTTCATATATTTCTCATGCTCAGTAATTTTAGTTGTTATGTTGGATCTATCCTGTTCACTGTGCTTCATCGACTGAGGTATTCAAATTTTTTTCCTTACCTTTATTTTTGAACTGTTTAAAATATTGCTTTATGATTTTATCTTCGTTTGTTACATGACTTTCTTCATTTCCTAGCTTATATGTTCATTTCATTATGTTTTTTTTTATGAATATGTTATTATTTGGTGTCGATTTTTTTTATATCGTTGTTCAGTATTTATGTTGTTTTGCTCATTGTTATTTAGGTATAACGTAGCTTCATCTTTTGCCTTATTTATTCTTCTGCCAAAAAATTTTTTAGCTTTTAATCTTCTTTTGGTCATGATGATGTATTTTTCTTCTATTGTTGATATATATGAAGTAACTGTTAATAAGGCTTGGTTGTTCTTGATGTTGTCCGGATTATTTTAAATTTAGACCATTGTCTTACGGTTTATTAATTATTAGAGTATTGTTTTTCTTTGCTGATGATGACTTAGTTTCTTTATGTTGAAGTCAGTGTTCTTTCAATAGTTTCCACTCATCTTTGTTGGTCAGTTTTCAACATTTTTTCTCTGTTCCATTTTCAATTATTGTCGTCCTTATGTAGTGCAAATGTATCGTTTTGTCTTTAGCTTTTTACTCCTTTATTTGTTTATATTTGTGCGGTTCTAACATATATATATTGGTGTTTTGAATAAATCCTGTAATAATTTAGTTACCAGCCAAGTACACTGTTAGGTTATATTTGAATTACTTATGATATCTATCGTTAACAATAGAAGATAAATACCTAAACCATGTATTTAATATATGATTTATTGGTTTCTTCATCTTTGGTTGGCGTTGAATCATGTTTTTGTTATTTATATATCAGTTTCTATATATTGTTTATCTCATTTATTTAAATGACCAATATGAATACATTTTTTTCTTAATACAAAGAGGAAAATTATGTATGTCATGCATTTATCAAAATAACTATATTGTAAAAAGTGATTGATCTTCTTTTTTTTTTTTGTAGAGTTTATTTCTCATTTTATATATTCACCGTATGATAATAGACTTTATCCCGTTTGGTTCCGTTTTTAAAAACGTTTTTCACGTTTTCCAAGACCAAAAAATGAAAATGGTCTGGGAGAGGCGTTTGGCATTGCGTTTTTTGAAAAACAAAAAATGAAAACGTTTTTGGAGGGTTTCTAAAAACTGAGTAAAACTGAAAATGATTCACGGTCGTTTTCATTTTCATTTCCTTCTCAATCTTCCCCCGAGTCCACCCCCAACTTAGTTAAAAAAGAGGTCTCGTTCGTTTCGTTGATTCGAGTTTAGAATTCGAGTTTTGCTACAGTAAAAAATTCTCATATTTTCTTTTTGAAATCTGATTTCAATTTATTAAGTTTTATTATTTTCTTTTTTATTTTTTTGTAACTAATATTAATATATTAATATTACAAAAAAATAAAAAAGAAAGAGATTGATAGAAATATTGAATAGAGATAGAGAGATAAAGTAAGCACAAGCGGGTAGCGGGAATCGAACCCGCATCGTTAGCTTGGAAGGCTAGGGGTTATAGTCGACGTTGATTCATCATTTTTAACGTCTCTAATTCAGAACCGAACGTGAAACTTTGGTTTCATTCAGCTCCTTTATGGAAGATGGATAAATTTCGAGATGGAAGATATCAACGAAATTAAAAAATTCGGCCCATAACATCTATGTCAACTTTTTTGTTTAAACAGTCACATTTAACTTTTTTATTACAGTAAAAAATTTTCACATAAAATCACATTTCAACTCAAATTCT